GGGAGGGGGTGTGAGGGATGAGTTGCGGGAAATGCAAGAGACACGGTCGAGGGCGTTTTCGATCACTGTGGAGGGGAAGTTGCAGTCCTTGAAAAACGAGGACATCTGGGATGTCCAGGAGTGGAATGCCTTATCTCGGGAGCAGATGCAGCAGAGACGAAGGAATTGGGAATAGGGGATGGCCTTTTTGCAGGAAGATGGGCGAGAGGAGGTGTATTCCAGGTAGCTGTGGCAGTCGGTAAATAACCTTAAATATTAACTTTTTCACTCGATATACAGATCTGTTGAATACTTCAGTTTTTATTTCAGATTTCCATTATCTGCAGTACTTTGCTCTTGTTCATGTATTTGGACATGATGTCTGACAAATTTCCAATTGAAGAAGCCACAGAAATCCACAACAGGGTGTGTGACTGTATAGAAGATTGGATTTAAACGATGGGAATCAGTTACCTTCCACAACATTATTAAAACAGTATTAAGTGGTATTTCACAAGGCTTGGACCAAGATTACAAACAATGAACATGGATAACAAAAATGAAATCTAGAGTCTTGAGTACTTCCAGTATTTTGATTTTATTTTAACTCTGCAGCATCCAAAGTTCTATCAAACCTATTTAAGTCTGTAAAATTAGCTTGCAGTGAAATTGTGAGAACAGAGACAGTAAAGGATTATTTAGAAATCAGAAAATATAAAGGAATTTAAATAGGGTCTACACTTGGATAAGCAAATAAAGTTCTGCATACTGGAATAATGAATGATACCAGCATAAAACAAACAAAACTGGCAGCAGGAAAGTCATTTAAGAACTGGGAATGAGTGACTTAATACTATCTATGGAATAAAGTTGTTAAAAATACAATGAAAATTCTGAGGCAAAAAAAAACTGAATAGAGTACAAGAGATTTTGCTAAGCCTGTTCAATTGTGATCAACCTGCTCATACTGGAGAATGGATGGAGAGTAAACGGACTAACTCAAAACACAGAAGCCTGAGCTTTACAATTTATGAAGACAACTGATAAGCACAATTCCAGGGCCAATTCCAAATGGATTCAATAACCTCCAGTCTCAATATCAGTGATATCACAACTGATAGACTGCAGGGCAGGGATGCCTTCACTAGTTACTTGGATGTTAGTGTTTTGAAGTTCCAAGTAAAATGCATGTTTTATCACACTATGTGAAGTACTTAATAGAATAAGCACAAAAATTTGTATTAAATTCAGAAAATATGCATGACCGTAAGATTATTTCTTTTTGTTGATTTTAAATTCTAAGTCCAGTTTCTCTAGTCGAGTAATACATTTCGCGTTTACCTGCTAAAAGTGGCTGCACTATAACAACATAAGACAATGTTTAAGACAAGTCTAGCTTTCATAACAAGGCACCAGACTGATACTAATAGTTTGCAGTACCATCTTTTATCCTGATTTTACTATTCCATAATCAGAAAGTTAATTGGTTATTCGTCAAAACAAAAAATCTTCCACATTTTAAAAAATTCACTCACACTGGAGAAGACTGATCTTATTCATGTGGATCATTTTAATAACAGATAGATTACACAATCTTAAAAATCTGTTAATATTTTAGATTCAAAGATTCTCTTGAAAGAAACAGTAATATTTCTAAACATCATCTACTCAAAGCCGGGCGAGGGGGATGGGAGAGAATAAAACTCCGTCAAAACATAAAAATCAGTCCAACTACTCGATCACAAGACTTCTCTGCAACTAACTGGAGAGCTTTAATTCAACATTCTAACCCTTACTACACCCCAGGACCACCTGAGTTAAATACTTCAATCGAGGGAGAATTAAAACAAAATGAAATACAGATTTTCAAAACCCTATATAAAAGAAAAAAATGTGCGTCTGTGTAAAGCAGGATCCTCATTTCCACCCCACCCCCCCCTGCATGTTTACAACACCCAGACGCTTCTTTACAGCGGCCAATAACACGTTGAGTGTAAGTAAAATGCTTCTTATAAAACATTACAGCAACTGTCCTTTAGTTAACGGTCGCACAAAGACATTACTGTGGGAGAAAAGCTTGCCAACTCGAACACTGTAGTTCAGTGACTCTAGGCCTATCCTGGGCCTCGGGACCCCCGCCTTCTCTGCCCCGGAGCCGGAGAGAAAGTTTTCCGGCCCCCGGATCGGGCCTCACTTACCGCAGCTTCGCGTCGATCTTTCTCAGAGTCAGGGAGATGGCTCTCAGCTGCTCTGATCACCCCAGACCCCTGGACTCTCCGAGCCGCATCTGAGCTGCCGGACGTGGCCGTGCTGCTTCAATCGTTCACCCTCTCGGATTCCCCCGTCACCCAGATCCCCTTTTCTTAAGGACACAACATGGCGGCTCCCAAGACGCATGCGCCCTGCATCCGCACCCTCCTCTATCTTTACCACCCACCCCCCCGGCGGACAATTCTGAATGGATTCGGCAAACCCGCGGCTAGACACCCAACACCTTTTTGCAAATATTTTCGTCCGCATGAGCGACTTGTACCAATGCTCCCCACTCGTTTCTCACACTTTTCATTATTTTCCTCACCCGACTGATTCGTTACAATATGACACAACCACTACACAGCCTCAGCATCTGTGAAAAGATACAGCGCAACAAGCGGTCAAGTGTCCAACAGTGGCTTTTCACAGGAACCTGCCCAGTTCCTTCATTACTCGCTGTTTTGTTTTGATTTCATTTCGCTGGCATCTGCAGGATTTTACTGCTGCTTTCAAATAATCTTCGGTCCCTGCATTTCAGTCTGTATTTAAAGCAGTAAATTACAAATCCTACGCAGCCACTGTACACAAACTTGTTTTTCCAAACTTCTTCGGTTCTTGATCTTAAATTAAGCAGCTTCTGACCACTGGAAATTATCCATTGGTAATTATCTTAATACAAACCTCAAGAGTAAATACGATTCAGTCCTTAATCTTTTCAGATGTGCATGCAAGAAAGAAACTACAGGACTGCATAACGACAAGCGCTTGACGAGTTCAGCTCCAACAACACTGGAAACTTAACACCAACCAGAACAAAGCAGCCCACTTGACTGGCACCACACCCACAAGCATCATTCCTTTTACCTACCGGATGCTGAGTAGCAGCAGTATGTATCTCAACAAGATGCACTGCAGATTCACCAAGACTCCTTACATAGTACCTTCCATACCCTGTCAATGGGTAGGCAATGGCCTAGTGATATTATCGCTAGACTATTAATTCAAAAACTGAGCTAATGTTCTGGGGACAAAAACAAAGTTGCTGGAAAAGCTCAGCAGGTCTGGCAGCATCTCTGAAGGAGAAAACAGAGTTAACGTTTCGGGTCCAGTGACCCTTCCTCAGAACTAACTCATCTAATGTTCTGGGGACCCAGGATTGAATCCCACCATGGCAGATGGTGGAATTTGAATTCAATAAAAAAAATCTGGAATTAACAATGTACTGATCACCATGAAATCATTATTGCTTGTCTGGAAAAACCCATCCGGTTCAGTAATGTCCTTCACAAAAAGAAATCTGCCATATTCAGCTCAGTAGTACATTGACTCCAGACTAACAGCAATGTGGTTGACTCTCAACTGACCTCTGAAATAGCCCAGCAAGCCATTCATTTGTACCAATCACTACAAAATCTCAAAGAAATGAAACTGGATGGATCACCAGGCATCAAAATAGGCACTGAAAAAGACAACGGCAGAAACAGCACTGTTGATCCTGCAAAGTCCTCATCGCTAACATCTGGAAGCTAGTACCAAAATTAGGACAGTTAGTTAGTTAAGCAACAGCTTGACATTGTCTGTAAGCTATGATTCCTTGAGTATGACTATGTCCCAGACACCACCGTCACCATCCCTGGATATGTCATAGAATCATAGATTCCCTACAGTGTGGAAACAGGCCCTTCAGCCCAACAAGTCCACACTAAACCTCAGAGCATCCCACCCAGACCTGTCCCCCTCCCCGTCCCCCTATAACCCACCTAATCTACACCTCCCTGAACACTACGGGCAATTTAGCATGGCCAATCCACCTAACCTGCACATCTTTGGACTGTGGGAGGAAACCAGAGCACCCGGAGGAAACCCACGCAGACACGGGGAGAATGTGCAAACTCCACACAGACAGATGCCCAAGGCTGGATTTGAACCCCGGTCCCTGGCGCTGTGAGGCAGCAGTGCTAACCACTGTACCACCGTGCCACCCACCACCTGTCTCACCAGCAGGACAGACCCAGCAGAGGTGGCAGCACAGTGGTATACAGTCAGGAGGGAGTTGCTCTAGGAGTCATCAACATTGACTCCAGACCCCATGAAGTCTCATGGCTTCAGTTTAAACATGGGCAAGGAAATCTCCTGTTGATTACCACATACCGCTCTCCCTCAGCTGATGAATCAGTACTCCATGTTGAACAACACTTGGAGGAAGCCCTAAGGATGGCAAGGGCACTAAAAGTACTCTGGGTGGAAGATTTCAATGTACTA